AGTGACCCTCCATATACATGGTAGGGACAGTATGCCAAAAGTTGAATGATAGATTGTTTTCTGACATGGCAGAAATCGATATTGTCTCAGAAATGAAAGAACAAGGTGTCACCTTTGTAAAAAGATTTACCACTCGTAAAAATTCAGAAACCCATCAGACAAACACATATTTGTTTTCGATTTCATCTCCTATTGCTCCTAAATCTATAAAGGCTGGTTACTGCAATATCAAGGTTGACAGATATATTCCAAACCCTCTTATACGTTTTAAGTGTCAGAAGTTCGGTCACGGTATGAACACCTGCACATTGACTGTTACATGCGCTCACTGGAATGAGAAGACGCATGTGAAAGAAGATTGTGACAGTAACTACAAAAAGTGCACAAACTGCTCCGGAGCACATTCATCTTCCTCTAAGGATTGCCCAATATGGAAACAACAAATGGAGATAATATAGAACAAGTTTTATGGATAACAACTTCTTTATTTCGTGAGTGCGACGTTTCGATACAGATATTTGTACAACGGTACAAGAATCTGTATCGAAACGTCGCACTCACGAAATAAAGAAGTTGTTATCCATAAAACTTGTTCTATATTGTACGTCTCAACTTCTAAAATGCCACTCAAACAAGTTAAATGGAGATAAACAAAATAATATTCAGCAGAAACATCAGCTTTGCAGAAGCATAAAAAACTTCCAGAATTGACATATGGAAACATATGCGTCAATTACTAGTACCCTTTCTGATACAAATCCCAAGTAACAAAAGTTAATGATGCCAGGCAGACTTCACATGGGTGAACGGAGGCTCCTGAGAGGTTTTCACCAGAGCAATCCACGCAAACAGCTGCAATAATTCCAACAACATCTCAAATCTAGTCTGAATCCATGGGTAATTACGATTCAGCTGTAGCACGCGAGAAATCATCGTCTCAACCATGTACAAATATCAAGCAAGTCAGTAAAAGTAAAGGTAAACCGAGACCAGAATCTTCGATAAAACATCAAAGTGGCAGAGTATCAAAGGGGTCAGATAATCAAATTCAACTCTATAATAAATATGGTTCACTTGAGGATATGGAAGTGTCAGAAAACTTCCATCCAAGAGCACATAGCTTGTCGCCCAGGAAAAAAGGGCGGGGTAGATCCTTAATCATTCCCCCAAAAAGATAGGTTATTCCAATAAAATAATACGGTGGAATTGTAGAGAACTCAAGTCCAATTTCAATGAAATACATTTATTAGTACAGGACTTTACACAGTCAGTATTCTGTCTGCAGGAAACTTATTTAAAACAGACAGACAAATTTGAATTGCGTCAATTCAGTGGATATCACTATTTTTCTCCTGCAGGTGAGAGAGCCACTGGAGGATCATCAATCCTTTTTCGCCAGAATATTATCCATAGCTCTGTCACACTTAATACTAATCTCCAAGCCGTTGCAGTGCAACTTATTTTACATATTACTTTTACATTATGCTCTCTATATATTCCGCCGTCTTTAAGACCCGTGAACTCACTCAATCACTCACTCACTCAGCTCATCTGGGCGTCAATCATTGTACCCGGCTGTCTACAGTGATACATACAGAGAGATTACTACAAGGGTGTCTGTCAGATACCATATATCCTACAACGAGTTGTTGCCAAACGTTTTGAAAGTACGAGTTGTAAGATAAATGGTATCCGACAGACACAAGTACAGTAATCTGTTTCTTACACACCTAAAATCTCACCACTTTTGGATCAAATCGATGTATATTTTGCCCCTTCTCTGGTTGTAGTGGCGCATTGATACATAACAAAACGTCATGAATGAGTGACGTCACTCGGCAGACTACTTAATACACATACATTGCGTAACCCTAGAACAAAAGCGTATCGGTCATATTTGAGCATTTGTAAGGCAACAGCGATGATGCAGACAAGATAATTCAAAGAAATTGATTAAACACTCCAAAAACACGACTTTGCAACTGTAAATGGTTCTCTCTCAAGTGAAACTAACTTCACAGTGAGACGTCATTATTATCGTTCCGAACATGGGCTAGCTGACGTTCATTTAATCTGAATACAGTCGTCATCAGACGTTAGTTTTGATTTCTTCGCACATGGGGGACTTACGCTTCCGTAAAAGCTAAGGTTGAATAGAACTCAGTTTGCTGGTTGCCTTTTGAACCAGGGAATTTGCTAGATGGTTCCTTGATGTTAGTGGCAATATAGAAAGAAGTATGTGGACTGGAGTATCCTGCAGTAAAGAAGCTCGAGTACTGCTTGTACATGGAAACTGGACAACGCTCATCATCAGTCGCCCATGCTTTGGGGTGCATGTTACGGATACCAAAAGGATTATCCCCTTGGTATGTTTTCGACTGCCTCTCTGTGAATTCAAGAAATTCTCTACCGTCTGAGTCAGGTTTAAGTGCAACATGCCCCCATTTAATGTCAGTGTGTGGTTTGACACTACGCATCCAAGTATGAGAGGTATTATTCCACCACATGGTGTTCAATATGGATTTGGGGTCGTGAGGACCAAATGTTTTGTTTCATAGAACTAGTTGATGTCATCGTCAGTGAGCGATTCAGCACGGCGATGCAGGTTACCCATTCCTTCACTCTTTAGAACGTTTTGTTTTGTTTTGATGACAGTTTTTAACTTTTCGAATTCACGATCATCGATAAGTAATGAACAGTAGTGCTTTGACTTAAGGTACCTGTCAACATCCCGCGAACTGTAGATGGTTCAGAATTGCTACCATTTTCCTTCCATAGGCTAATAAAAAATGTACACAAAATGTCACAAAGTTTAATTGAATGGACTCGATAGGACGTGTATCACCTTTTGCAATCATGAACCCTTGAAAACGCCTCATGTGGCACATCTTTTTACGTTGTGTGTTTCGGTTCTGATTGTCTTGAACGAATTTGTCAATTTGCCAAAGGTCATATCGCTGTTGAGGGTTTGGGGATCGATCCGTATCGTTTCAATCGGTAAAGTTTCATTCTTCATCAGTTCATCTAAGAAGTCAGTTGGTAAATCGATCTCACCACAAACATGTCTGCATTCTATTTAAGCACGAGAAACTTATCAATGAATTTCAATCAGGAAAGTAGTCCCTAGGTCATCATCATGGAGTAGCCAATTACGGGATTAGAAATCGATATCACACATATGTTTGATAACAGTTTTCTCACATGGGTTTCTCACCCACGGGTGTGTAATAAAAACATTAATCCCCCTGTGATTAACAATAATAAACATGCTATTATCAAGGGCAACTTTTCTATGCATACTTCTGCATATCAACGATAGCAATGAAGGAGTCCTAGAATGAGCAGCATCGTATCCCGATGGCTGCTCATACTATCAGCCACTGGTTTGGTCCAGAGTGGCTGGGATATTACGGTGTTAAACAACATAAACATAATCAAAGTTTAACCCAGAATAAGATCAGGTATAATAAACTACATATAAAAGAAGTAAAAACTGGTTTTCTTAAAAAATGCCCAATGCGTGACTAACATTGCAGTCTTGTTTCAATACTGAGTACCGTGGCTCTCAGTTGAAAATACATTAGAAACGGAGGATCGTCATCCAGTATTTAAAACAAAGTATTGCTTTGCTCAGACACGTGTGTATTAAACATATGAAATATACCCCACATGTGTGTACTTATTCATGAAATAGAATTGAGACATTCCGCGAAGAAGACCGATTGTATAGTTGACATCAACACCCGTCAAACAAGCAGAGAAATAGTAACGATGAGGCTTTTGGCAAGACTATTAATTTAAGAAAGATATTCTACGTATTTTCATGGCAGAAGAATACAGAGAGAATTTCTATGCAAAGATGTTTAAGTCAAAGCTCTTTTAAGATTTAACTGACTTGCAGCATAATGTACGACAAGCTGAAACATCCACATTTGTCTCAGCGGTCCATAAATCACTTGCTCTGCTTCATAGAGGAAACGTTTCATGAATATATGATCATTTGAGACTCCAACATATCCCATTATCTATGGTGCCTTTCATTTCAACAAAGGACTTCATCTTTTCAACTGGGAGGTATGCACGTTCTTCGTGGTAACCAAGCTCGCGTGGCAGGAGTTTCCAAGAAATAACGTCAAGATATGCGCAGGGAGACTATTTTTCTTCTCGAAGGGCATTCAAGAGATTTTACAGAGAGATAAATATCCCTTTTTTTAAATGTTCAAATATTGCATGATGTTTTATATGCTTGAGGTCTGACTCCTGGTGGGCCAAGGTAGATTTGGTACCGCCTCTTGAAAGAAATCACCAACAGCACGATGTGGTCTGGCGATGTCGTCCACGAAGACAGACTTTGTGTCCTGGCCCCGAATTCTCGAAACAAACTTAACATTTTACTCAAATTCTTCAGTTCTTGGTGATGTATAGCCCGTTTTCATTTTGTACTGTCTAGAGTTATTACTAATAACTAATTACTAATAGCGTACTTGTATTAAATTTTTATCTGTGATACTCTAGTATTTTTACTGTCCGTCGATGACAGGTTTTTACGTTTTAAATTTATTGAATTTAATATTGATATCAATTAAATTGTTATCGTCACGATATGGCGGAAATATTGCCTATGTGACGTTAAATATTAACTCACTCACTCACCCAAACTGAGTTTGACAATTTGAAAGAGTTTTAATTATAACATTTTTAAAATATGTGGATATGTGGATATGTGTGTATATGTAAGTGTAAAATCTGAACTTCCTTCATGAAGTAAATTGTGACGTTGATTTGGTATGCTTGATGTAAAAAATGCTAAATCAACAGATATTGAGATGAGGCTATTGATAAATCTGAAGTAAAATATTTTACATTGACATATGTTAGGATGAGGCCAATGATTTGCCTAAGGTAAAGTGTTCTGTACTGACATGGGTTGAAATAAGGCCAATGTTACACCTGACGTGAAACGTTCTATACCTTGAAGGCACCAGTGAGGAGCCACCTCGATGTGGTGGGTGCTGGGTAACACTAAGAGCTCTTCAACCCCCCGTGTGGACCCAGGGGTATATTTGGTCCACCAACCTGTTTACCGTAGGTTGCGCCCCTGTGTCGGTGGAGGACGGGAGTCTGGTGGTTGAGGGCACTGGGAGCCTGGAACCGTCTTCCTTTTGCCCAACACGCCACTTCGCCCCTTACTTCACCTAGAGGGGTGGTAGAATTGGCCCCGTTCTATCAATCGGCTGGTCACGCCATGCCCTGTGCACAGACAATATTCATATGCAATTGTTGTCAATTTTTGTACACTGAATGTTTGTATTTCCAATTATCTTATATATGTTTGCCTACATTCCTATGGCGGTGGCTCATGGGCCAATCTGCTGATCCAGACATTGTAAGGAGGTGTTCATATTATCAGAATTAACGTGAAGGTACGGGTTAGAATTGATCTTCAGTAACCCATGCTTGTCGTAAGAGGCTACTAACGGGATCGGGTGGTCAGGCGTGCTGACAAGGTTGACACATGTCATCGGTTCCCAATTGCGCAGGTCGATGCTCATGCTGTTGATCACTGGATTGTCTGGTCCAGACTCGATTTTTTACAGACCACCGCCATATAACTGTAATTTTGCTGAGTGCCGCATAAAACTAACCTCACTCACTCACTCTTTGTAAAATCGGATATATGCTCATGATGTCAGTCACAGGACTGATTGTTCGAGATCCGATTGGTCACCAGCTACTGCCATACATCGGACATATTGGTGAATGTGTGATGGGAAAATAATGAAATAGAAGTTTATCTATGTTTCAATATGGAAGACGTAAAAACTACATGAAGTCAAACGTGACCTGTTTTCAGGTTATGTGTACCTGGGATGCTACAAGGATGACAGTGGCAGGTTGATCAACGATGTACATAATAGCAACGACTCCATGACGTACGAATGGTGCCTGACTCGCAGCAGACAGGGCAACTATCTTCTTGCTGGACTGGAGGCAAGCAAATTCTACTTCATGTACCCTGACATTGAACGTAACTCTCTTCTTGTATTTAACCTGGTAATGCCAGAGGATGCATCATCAGTAACACGTTGTGTGTTCACATCATCCGTAAACATACGCGGCAGATATCTAGCGTAGTCGATTTATGTAGCAAAGACACAACTCAGTTCAAGTGAAAGTGAAACTTGTTTTGGATTGCACACACAAAAAGGCACAACACAAGTTAAGCGAGAAGTAAATCAGGTTTGCATTTCACTAACGATATATAACAAACTGAATAAGACAAAACGCATCTCAATCCAGAACGAAATCAGTTATGCAGTGAAGTCGCTATCTTTATCCGACAACTAAAGGCATAACTTGCATGAAGCACAAGGGAATCATACGAGTGTTTTTTCCCCACAGAACACTGTATTCGTCGTACAAACGTAAGTACTTCTCATGTATCAAACATGACTTCAATATATACTAGGCACATAAAGAAACTGTGCATACAAAAATTTAAAATCTAAATTTATCAAACCTGTGTAGACACATAAGGATTTAAACTCAGAGATTAGTGACATGTATCCAACATGCATGCACGTGCCACGTTCCATGACGTCAGTTGGTTCGTCCTTGAGACGTGCAATACGTTGTTGCACGTGCAATCCGGGAAAGAGAAACAGAGCAAATGAATGCCACACAATACTGTCACTTTGGAAAGCTCAACCCCTGCCCTTGCGATCGTTCAAAAAGTTAAACGGCTATTGAAACGCATAGCATGCCAAGGCTCACGTCTGCACAACGTCATGAGGCCATTGGGTTGGTCCGTTGGGGAATGTCTCAACGACAAATGGCTGCACATTTTCACTGCCACCGGAACACCATTGCTGCACTGGTGAGACGCTACCAGAACACAAATGACGTCATCGATAAGCCACGTTCTGGACGTCCACGTGTAACAACGCCAAGGCAGGACAGATGGATAAGGGTGACCCATCTTCGCCACAGGTTTCAGACTGCAGTGATGACTGCCCGAACCATCCCCGGACTTCGCCGTATCCACCCCAACACAGTTCGACAACATTTACGTCATCACGGGATCAGACCACGACGTCCCGCCATACGGCCTATCCTGACACAAGGTCATCGACAAGCTCGCCGAATGTGGTGCCGAAATCATGTCCGCAGACCCTTGTTTTGGTGGAGAAATGTTGTTTTTACAGATGAGTCCAGGTTTAACATTTCCCATAGTGATGGACGTCAACGTGCCTATAGACGCGTGGGAGAACGTTATGCACAGGCCTGTGTCTTGGAGAGGAATCGCTTTGGTGGTGGTTCCTTTGATGATTTGGGAGGAATAACAGCACGCCAAAGAACTCCTTTGGTGATTGTTCAGGGCAACTTCACTGGTGTGGGCTACAGGGATCAGGTTCTTTGACCTGTGGCAATTCCTTTTCTGCAATGTCATGGCCCTGGGTTAACATTCCAACAAGACAATGCCCGCCCCTCATACGGCAAGGGTTGTTATGGATTTCTTTTGCAACACCACAACGTTGCCAAATTCACCAGATCTCTCCCCGATAGAGCATGTTTGGGACGAGATGGATCGACGTCTACGCCGTCTTCCTCATCCGCCAGATAACGGCCTTGACCTTGCAACAGAACTTGAGATAATCTGGCGTGACATCCAACAAGCCTTCCTTGCACGTTTGATAGGCTCTATGCGTTGTCGATGCACTGCTGTTCTCAATGCCGATGGTGGACATATCGTTATTGAGCTTGTGACATAAGACAACCGTTTGACCCCTGTCCCGCTTGTGGACTCGTGACGTCATTGTGATTGACCTTTTAAATGAAATTCTCCCGACTTGTTATGATCTCATGATCCCTCCATTAAATTTTATATGTACCTTTGACATTGTTATCGTACTTATCAACTGGCATAATATTTTGACAATGCACAGTTTCTTTTTGTGGCTAGTATATAATGTTCGTGCTTCCCAAAGTTCATGCTGGGATATAGTCTCACCCGAATGCATGAAGCTACGAACAGTCTGATTTTGTTTATTTGCTAATTACGTACACGCGTCATTGCTACAGTGAAAAGCCTAATGTGTATGTACGTGTGGAGGAACGTTGTGTATCAAATACAATGAAGTATTGATGATGTAAACGACGACGGGGACTGAAAGTTATTTAGCTTTATGCACCAAACCACTACATAGTGACAAAGGCACATTTTCAGCATTGGCATTATGACGAATGCTTGTGTGGAAACACCTATGACAACGTCAGGAATATACTGTGAAGAAAGAAGGGACTGCTACACCCATGTGAGGGCAGCAGCAGCCAGATGTGTGTCGGCCTAATTTTGGACTGTCTTTGTTTCAGTGCATCTGAACCAAATTAAGGAACACAAGATTTTCGGATTTATGTCCCTTTGTTTTGAATTGTCAGTCTCTTACTTTCAACAAATACCATTTTTGTTTTGATGATTAACACCACTTTCAAGAAAATGAAATTAATAGCATTCTCTTGAAACGTGTGTCAATCTCATGGTGATTTTGGCCTCTTTTCACATAGATGTCCTTAAAATATTGAGCTCATTATCCTAAAAACAGTATATTATTTGATGAATAAAGTAGTCAATGTTTTCACGTGTTAAACCGTTATTTCACAAAAAGCTAGTTATGTCAGGCATCCACATCCATCAACGTCTAATGTGTCAAGGGAGATAAGTTGAACCGTCTTTTCCAGCTCATTGATCTACTCTTCTCTTGCAGAATTATATGTACTGTAATACGTGAAGAAATAACATGAAAGAAATAGAAGTGGTTGTGCAAACTTGTCAATAGCTACTCGCTGCCACTTCTAGACTTCCAAAGAGGCTGATAGGTATCGCCATGCATTTACAGTGACATACCATTTCAAGTTTGGTGAAATAAAAGGTCAATCGGTTGATGTTTAACGCCGCCGCACCCAGCAATATTCCAGCTATATGGCGGTGGTCTTCGTAAATAATCGACTCTGGACCAGAAAATCCAGTGATCAAAAGGCATGAACATCCATATACTCAGTTTGATACGATGACATTTTGTCAGCCAGGTCAGCGAGCCGTAGTGGCTGCTTACTACATGCAATGATTGCTGAAGACTTATTATATCTTGGTTCTCCACGGGTATGGAAATACGACAAGGTGACGTACCTCATACAATACCTGACTAATCTACCTTTCCACATTTAAAGAGTAGTAGTTGTATCAAACATTTCAGAAGAATTTGAATTTTGAGCCAGGATTCGAACCAAGGTTTCAGGAACATCAGAGCGACGCAGTTCTAGACAGCAGACAATACCAAGAAGCATGGGTTACTGAAGACCCAATTCCCCTGACCAGGATCTTCACGGGTCACAGACGAGTGAGCTGTGCCACACCTTGTACATATGCTGGTGATGCCATTCTTTTGAGCAACAGGCATTGCCTCCTTTCATCCCCACCTGACAGACCAGTGGGACTAGACTGACGTTTGGCCATGTGGATCTGTTTAATGTCGACCTTCATAGTGTCACTGAAAGTAGAAATACGTTCAACAAGATAGTATTGCAAAATAGACAGGACAACGAGTCCGACAGTTGAGCATAAGAAGTGGTGGAGATGTCCACCTTGTTAGACCTTGTTTGTGGAATTGTGGTGACAAGTGAATCGTACAAAGATCGTCTTAACAGAATAAATTCATGTTGGAAATATATACATAATTGCGACTGGGAACTAACTTGAAACACTCTGTCACGCCGAAGACCTGGGATCGATTCCCTACATGGGTACAATGTGTGAAGCCCATTTTGGTGTCTCCAGTCGTGATATTGCTGAAATATTGCCCTCAAACTCTCCTCGAGACCGTCGTGAACGTCAACACATCAGAGGTTAAATAATCCTGAATAAAGAAGGAATATACAGGAGCTTTCATCTTAAGCAACTGTTAAACAGACATAGGTTTAATAAGAGCATAACTGATATAGTACGACAGCTTTATTATGACAAGCTGCTCAGTTGATGAAAGAAGTAGTTTAAAAGCTTAATGAAGGTGGCTTACCATAGATAAAATTCAGCTTGGCATATTTTGTAACGCAAATCTTCATAAACAGGATTGATTCCAAGTAAAAAATGAATTTCATTTTCCACATCTAGATTACACAGAAGATACTTTTATCTTTCATCTTTGGTATACCATTATGCTGATCAAGCCTAACCTAAGACGGCATAAATAGATTTGTTAATTTCTTTGATGTTAAAACGTTAAAATTTCTCTGCATGAGTAATGCTTTGTATATTCTATAAGAGTCATGCCGTGAACTATTATCTATTACTGAATGCCATCAGTATCAGGGTACCATGGCATCCGAGCCCAGCCACCATTTCGGGGACACACAGCCGTCAACTGCGACAGAATCGTCGACCTTGGACTTGAGGCGGCAGCAACGTTACATTAGGGTGCGTTATGTGTGTTAATTTGGCAACATGAGAGTACTGGTGCTGGTAAGTCAAAAATATTTATCACCCCATCGGTTTGGTTTGTTGTGAGTTGTTTTTTGTTGTTGTTTATTAATTTCGGGGGTGTGGGGGGGTGTTTTTGTAAATAAAAAGCACCAATTTTGTTCTTTGTTTTGTACGTCTGTCTTTTTTCTATGAGACAGTAGGGGAGGTTGGGTAGCTATGGGTTTAAGCGTTCGCTTGTCACGCCGAGGACCCGGGTTCTATTCCCCACATGGATATAATATGTGAAACCCATTCCTGGTGTTCCCTGCCTTCCCGGCCAGTGATATTACTGGAATATTGCTAAAAGCCGCGTAAAGCTAAAGACAATTACTTTGAGAAAAAAATCAGCATTTCACCTGTTGTTTTCTCAGTGAAAGTGAGATGGCACGATCTTTCCTTGTCTCCGAATGCTCACTGGCATATTGATCTGGCATTTCTACTGCTCCGTGATAACGTAGTGTGTCAGATGACACAGGATAGGAGGTGTGTATGTAAATTACAATCTGCAGTTGAGAGCATTCTGCCTCAGCTGTATGGTCGAGGTAGCCTGTGATCCTTGGTAGAGATTTGAAGATGATTTCATCATGTTCCATGGGCCTCCGGAATATTATCCTGCTCTCTGCAGTTGTTCACACTGTTTATGGACTTTCAAAGTCCATCACGAAACAATGTGATAGTCAGACGGCAGAGAAGGATAGTTCTGTGTCTATCAAGAACATTGGCATCAGGCTGTGTGAAGTAAAATGTAGAAAACTGGCGGCTGTTCACGATTCGAATGCAATTACGAAACGTTAACTTGTAGTCTCCGACTTGGTGAATCCGCAACGATTTGAGGAGGGATGAAGGATTCTCTGTTCTGAGAAGAAACATTCGGATGTAAGTAGAATACTAGAGTCCTATCTAACCGCCCAAGAAACATTCGTAACTCACGAAAATATTTCTCTCTTGGTCTATGAGCAACATCAGGTAAATACAATCTTTCTTCTTCACAGTCTGTGATCCATATAAGATATAAGAAATATATAGAAGTCATTTCTGAAATAATTATATGATCACGGATCTTCTTGAACATGTTTCACTTTTACCTTCAGGGATACAGCACACCTCGGTAGTTCTCACCAATTTCTTAAATAAACATTACACCAAGGGTTAGACCAATGGTTAGAACCAATGGGTCAATGAAACTCCAATTACATATCAAAATGTAAGTGAAGTCAACTGAATAGTAAGGGCAATCAATATTGATACACGATATTAGATAAAAAGCACAAAATACAAAAACAAGTTGCTTTTGCCCACAGGCTAATTTATTTGTGTATAGAAATGAACTTGGAATGGAATGGAACTTTCAGCGTAAAGAGCCAAAGACTTGGCCACTCATTTACCAATACAGAAACTGCATATAGAAAAAAATATTTGTTAACTCGAAAATTCATGCATACTTTAATAAAATGTAAAATCAATCCTACTAAAGTGATTGAGGGTGAAGTGGATAAAACGCCCCTTCTGACAACATTTTTTCTACAAGTGATATCGCCTCTGGAAACCTGCATTGGGCGATAGGTCCACGGATACACACAGACGGTTGCTGTTTGCTTCTGTTACAGATACCCCCTGGTCCATGCGCAGCCATGTCCCGCAGCCTCGGTTCCAGATGCTTACAGAGTCGGTCTGGGAAAGCTGTATGTGTAAGGTAACTTGATTTCCAATATGCTTTCCATATGGTGTCTAGGGTCTATTTTATGTTTGGAAAGATGAGATTGTTCAATAATGTAATTATGACAAGGAATAGTGGTGAATACATCATATGAGATATAAGTATGTAAAAGAATGCTAAACGTGTCCCAGTGTAATACCATATTTATATAAAACTCTTCGTGGAATGGTATTTGTATCTAACTGCAGCTTTCGAAAGGAATGAATGGTTTTGTATCTAACGAGCGAAAGCGAGTTAGATATGAAAAATACCATTCACAATGGAAAGTTTCATAAATAAGGTATTACACTGGACATTGTTTAGTATTTCATTTATTACTCACCCACATTACAAAATAATATCGAGCAAAGTAATTGTTTCCTAAGAATTCAATGAGATGCGATGACTCCCCTCAGCTTTCCACTGAGTCAAACAAGATGTACTACTATTGTGACAGAGGTATAAGCATTGTGACGTCATAACTATAAACAAGTTTTACGTCATACGTACGGCACTACGTGATGTTATTACACAATGTACATAACATTGTTAAATTGTTAAACAGTGATATCTTCAACGGGTGAGTAATAAGTTGATTCCTACTTTCTAGGATAATTATTGATAACGTTTGTAAACATTTTTCGGATATGGCTGTGACAGTCCTAGTTTAAAGGATAACTTTGGCAGCCATTCCTTAAAACGAATACTCCCCGATTAATAACCAGTCCCGTTATGTCATGAAACCATATGTCATGCGGATCCCCTCCATAATGTTTGATATACAGTACTTCAAACAGAGTAAACTAGAGGTACGTTCTGAGTCTCCAAAGAAATATCCCTGTCGAATTTTAGTCTATCATGAAACCTTAAGAGAAACGCACCTTGAATATCAATGTTCACAAATCAAATCAGGCAATTTAAGAACGTGTTTTACTGAAAGTCGAGGATGAGAAATTATGGTCTTAGTACAGGAACTTGGTGTAGAAAACAAATGACAAAACACCCAAACAATATGTCCTTAAAGCCTACACTTGCTAAAAACAGTTAGTACCTCGAAGCTGCAATTATGTTAAAGTCTGACATAACATAACGTTTACAGATGAGGAGAAGCTCCATCATTCGAGTTCCCCAAAACGCAAAGATCACAAGCCTGGAGACAATCTACTCCATGAAGCCAGCGGGGACGGCGACCTTTACCGAGTGCAACAGATCGTGACTGATAGTCACGTTGATATCAACAGCAGAGAGAAGGAACATGGAATGACCCCGGCAATGTTGGCAGCTCATGGGGGACACAAGGATGTGTTTGACTTTCTTGTTAGGAACGGATGTAATTTGTCGGTTGTTGATAGCACAGGTAATAACAATCTTCAAATGGCCTGCTTCGGAGGACATGTTGGAATAGTGAAATACATCGTGTCACTTGCCATAGTGGACATGAACAGTAGAGGACAATTTAGGAGAACACCAATGATGACAGCATCATCCCGAGGGAACTGCGAGGTCTTTCAAGTTCTTCTGAAGAGGGGAGCGAAGTTGACATTGATGGATAAGGCCGGTGACAACATCCTTACAATCGCCTGTAGAGGTGGACATACAGAGATGGCCAAATATATCATCTCATTGAACATTGTGGAAGGCAATACCAGACGATATCATGGTAGATCCAGATTGATGACGGCAGCACGGATGGGGAACAGAGAATTGTTTGAGACATGCATATGTGCAGGAGGTAACGTGACGGAAATTGATGCTGATGGAAACAACATTTTACATCTGGCCTGTTGTGGAGGAGATGTGGTCATAGTGAAGTACATCCTCTCCCACAACATAACGGACATCAACAGTAGAGGGGTATATCAAAGGACACCAGCAATCTTGGCAGCAGCTTGGGGACACAAACACGCGTTCGAGTTGATTGTTAGCGAAGGAGGTGATGTGTCGAAAGTTGATGTTCATCTTAACAATATCCTACATGTGGCCTGTTTGCATAGCCAATTTGAGATGGTGAAGTATATTATCTCGCAGAACATTACAGATATCAACAGTAGAGGAGACAAGGGGAGGACACCACCAATGATGGCAGCAGGCAAGAGTCATATAGGTGTGTTTGACTTTCTCGTGCGTAAAGGGGCTGATACTTCACTTAACGATTCAAATGGTGATAACATCCTGTTTTTGGCTTGCAGAGCTGGACAGGTGGGAATAGTAGATTACATCCTCTCACGCAACATAACTGACGTCAACAGTAGGGGGGCACACTGGATGACACCAATAATGGTGGCAGCAAGTCGGGGACAAATAAAAGTGTTTCACTTCCTTCTGAATACGGGAGGTAATGTGACAATGCTTGATCGTAATGGTAACAACATCCTCCACATCGCCAGTTATCATGGAGAGATAAAGGTAGTAAGGTACATCCTTTCTGGCAACTTTGTGGATATTAACACCAAGAACAAGAACAGCGATACAGCAGCAATGATAGCCACACATAGAGGCCATAGTAAAGTATATGCCCTAATAAGTCGACATGGGCAAAGCGGAATGTGATAATTGGTAGCCAATTACCTTGTTGTATGTCTTTGTGATAGTCTAACAATGCAATCTTGTTGACGTCGCTTCATCACTGGCACCTGTTTCAAAAGACTGTTCTCAAATCTGCCCTCTCAGAACACATTGTAAAAAATCCAAATCACTCTGTCAACTGATAACAGACTGAAATCCTGGCTTCCAAAATCAGTAATTAGCGCAACAGAAAACATCTTGAGTCAATCAACATAAGAAGATGAGTGCCGAGGTCAACAAGGACCTGAAGAAGGGGCTAGATCTAGCCAAGAAACGTTGTAAAAAATAAAGTAGTTGTTATCCATAAGATTTGTCTTGTATTACATGGGGAAATGCTACACATATCTAAACAACTTATATATGGAGTTAACGTGTTACACAAACTCCCAACAACTTCTATGTTACGTAGTACATATTGCAGATCGATACATATGCTACACTACCTAAATAAATAATTTCAAAGTTCTGCCTGCCTTAATATCAAAGCATGACACTAGGGTGCATCTTATTTAGAAAAACTCTCGACAAATATATCCAGATTAATACTTTTGTGAGTGAGTGAGCGAGTGATGCGTCGCAATATTCCAGCAATATCACGGAAGTCCGGATTATTACAAGCAGGTACACGGTGATCACCTCATCTCACCTCCGACTCATGAACTCGCTCACTCACTCACTCACTCACTCACTCACACAGCTCACCTCCTACTGATACTGATCAACTTAATCCTGTTCGACGGTCGTCATTCTCTCAGACATAAACTTAATTTCAATGATCCACCTCCAAATGATGTTTTTTTTCCAAATGATGTTGTAGGCATTGCTTACGCTATGAGACCACTATCCCTGAGTGACCATGCTTAGATCTGAGATAATGAGTGATGAGCTCATCACGATTTACAGGCAAGCACGTTTTAGGCGAGCCTGTTGTAAGGAGTAACATAGAGATTCATCCAGTAGTGATCAACTTGTCATCAGTTTATAAAAGAATAACACCCAGACTGCCACCAATGATATTCTCAATACATAGATACACTTTTGTCAGTGGGCAGATTTCAAGTGACGATGGCATTTTGGTGGAAACCGAGAGGGTTAGATGGCTGTGTGCTTGCGATTAGGTGCCTCACTCTGGGAGTGTGGGTTCTCAACCTGGATAATACTCAACCTGGAAAGGTATTATCATTTGTACTGTACTAAGGAAGTGATGAGTGAGTTTAGTTTTTACGCCGCATTTAGCAATATTCGAGCAATATCATGGCGGGGATATCAGAAATGGGCGTCAATCATTGTACCCATGTGGGAAATCGAACCCGGGTCTTCGGCGTGACGAGCGAACGCTTTAACCACTAGACTACCCCAACAGCCCACGAACATGGGCTAGCTGACGTTCATTCAATTTGAATACAGTCGTCATCGGAGGTTAGTTCTGATTTCTTCGCACATGGGGGACTTACGCTTCCGTAAAAGTTAAGGTTGAATAGAACTCAGTTTGCTGGTTGCCTTTTGAACCAGGGAATTTGCTAGATGGTTCCTTGATGTTAGTGGCAATATAGAAAGGAGTATGTGGACTGGAGAATCCTGCAGTAAAGTACTGCTTGTACATGGATACTGGACCACGCTCATCACCAGTCGCCCATGCTTTGGGGTGCATGTTACGGATACCAAAAGGATTATCCCCTTGGTATGTTTTCGACTGCCTCTCTGTGAATTCAAGAAATTCTCTACCGTCTGAGTCAGGTGTGAGTGCAACATGCCCCCATTTAATGTCAATGTGTGGTTTGACACTACGCATCCAAATATGAAAGGTGTTATTCCACCACATGGTGTTCAAAATGGATTTGGGGTCGTGAGGACCACATGTTTTGTTTCATAGAGTTTGTTAATGTCATCGTCAGTGAGCGATTCAGCACGGCGATGTAGGTTACCCATTCCTTCACTCTTTAGAACGTTTTGTTTTGTTTTGATGACAGTTTTTAACTTTTCGAATTCACGATCATCGATAAGTAATGAACAGTAGTGCTTTGACTTAAGGTACCTGTCAAAACCGGACAAAGCTCTACACACACGTCTGCGACGGATTTAAATATTTAACTGACTTGCAGCATAATGTACGACAAGCTGAAACATCCACATTGGTCTCAGCGGTCCATAAATCACTTGCTCTGCTTCATAGAGAAAACGTTTCATGAATTTATGTTCATTTGAGACTCCCAAATATCCCATAATCTATGGTGCCTTTCATTTCAACAAAGGACTTCCTCATTTCAACTGGGAGGTATGCACGTTCTTCTTGATAACCAAGTTCGAGTGGCAGGAGTTTCCAAGAAATAACGTCAAGATATGCGCAGGGAGACTATTTATTCACGAAGGGCATTCACGAGATTTTACGAGATAAATTTACTTTTTTTTAAATGTTTAAATATTGCATGATGTTTTATATGCTTGAGGTCTGACTCCTGGTGGGCCAAGGTAGATTTGCTACCGCCTCTTGAAAGAAATCACCAACAGCACGATGTGGTCTGGCGATGTCGTCCACGAAGACAGACTTTGTGTCCTGGCCCCGATTTCTCGAAACAAACTTAAGATTTTACTCAAATTTCAGACTGAGTTTTCAGTTCTTTGTGATGTATAGCCCGTTTTCATTTTTTGTACTGTCTAAAGTTATTTAATTTTACAATAGCGTACTTCTAATTTTTTTTTATCTGTGATACTCTAGTATTTTTACTGCCCGTCGATGACAGGTTTTTACGTTTTAATTTTATTGAATTTAATATTGATATAAATTAAATTGTAATCGTCACGATATGGCGGAAATATTGCCTATGTGACGTTCAATATTAACTCACTCACTCACCCAAACTGAGTTTGACAAGTTGAAACTAATTTATAACTCAGCTGCATTTTTGAAATAAAAATGTCCAAACAACTTGATTATTCTTTTCACCAAATTTAAATTGTCTAACTATGTTTGAGTTTAATATCGAATTTTATTTCATTCTGGCAAATGCGAGTGAAAACTCTAACTTGAGTAAAAACTCGACTTAAGTTTGTTTCGAGAATTCGGGGCCTGTTCTTGTTGATCTTGAGACCGATCTTTTGCATTGCCATGCTTTGAGTAGAGATATAGTTTGTAGGTTACATACCAGATTTAAATCTACGTCTATGATTTGACTGTTTAACTGTCCTTTGTCGGCATGTTTCTTAGTTCACCTTTATGGGTTATCAATGTAAAGTTGTTTCATTCACGATATTGATGCAACACTGTGCCTATAAATCTTAACTCATACACAATTGCACCAAGATTTTGATTTTACAACAGTACAGACGCCTTAACAGCGACTGTCCCCGGGAACTGCAGACATGTTAAACGTGAACCGACAACAGCGCTATGAAAGCTCGCTCTTGATCCGTATAACTTTAGCCATGAGCATTTAACACTGACTACAATCAGTTGCTCTAGAACGAGAGACCCCGAGAATAGCTGACATGTTAAAAGTGTACCGACAATACCGCTCTCAAACATTTTGACCCTTTACAAGTTGACATACAAGTATTTAACACTTACAATAATCAGCTCCACGTAACATTGCAGAGTTATTTGTTCATGGTTTGTATGTGGTTGGGTGGATAGGTTTGGACTGTCGCGGCTGTGGTGAGACTGGCGGAGGTGAGTGTTATAGTTTGTAGCATACATATGGATTACGGACATGGTATATAGCCCCAAAATGCAAAAGACGAATAGAGTGAGGGCATTAATCTTGGTTTTGAAACGCAATTATAGAGGACGGGTAACTCAGCTGCGTTGGACGACTGGGATTATAGCACGGGTACGAGCATGAGGTACCAGGAAGTAGATTGAAAGATCAGGAACGTGTATGAAGTATGTGCATTGTTTGTTTGCTAGTTTCCAACGCCACTCTCAGCAATGAGGCGGCGGTCTGTAAATAAACTAGTCTGGACCAGACAATCCAGCGATCAACATCGTGAAATGGATGTACGCAATTAGTATACGATGGCACGTACGCACGAACTCAGCCATTAGACAACCCGTAAGTCGCCTCTCGTAAATAGAGAGCATGCCTTACGACAGATAAATCTAACCCTGATTTTCACGGGCCCTAGTCTGTGTATGTGACGAGGGTATATAAGACAGATATGTTGCATATGTATGTGAGGTTGGTGTAAAACACGGATATAATGCATATGTATGTCACGTGGGGGTATAACACGGATATGTTGCATGTGTATGTGACGTGGGTGTATAACACGGATATGTGTTTGTGACGTGGGTGTATAACACGGATATGTTGCATATGTATGTGACGTTGGTGTATAACACGGATATGTTGCATGTGTATGTGACAGGTTTGTATAACACAGATATGTTGCATGTGTATCTGCCGTTGATGTATAACACGGATATGTTGCATGTGTATGTGACAGTTGTGTATAACACGGATATGTTGCATATGTATGTGACGTGGGTGTATATCATGGATATGTTGAATGTGTATGTGACAGGTTTGTATAACACAGATATGTTGCATGTGTATCTGACGTTGATGTATAACACGGATATGTTGCATGTGTATGTGACAGTTGTGTATAACACGGATATGTTGCATGTGTATGTGACGTGGGTGTATAACACTGATAGGTTGCATGTGTACGTAATGTGGGTCCATAACACGGATATGTTGCATGTTGTGCATGTGACGTGGGTTTATAACACGGATATATTGCTTGTGTATATGACATGGGTGTTTAAAACTGATATGTTGCATGTGTACGTGACGTGGGTGCATAACACGGATATGTTGCATGTGCATGTGACGTGACGTGGTTTTATATCACGGATATATTGCATGTGTATATAACATTGGTGTTTAAAACTGATATGTTGCATGTGTATGTGACATGGGTCCATAACAAGTACGTGTTGCATGTGTATGTGACGTGGGCTTATAACCCTGATATATTGCATGTGTATGTGACGTTGGTCTATAACAAGGACATGGTGCATGTGTATGGGACGTGGTTGTATAACACTGATATATTGCATGTGTATGTGACATGGTTTTTAACACGGATATGTTGCATGTGTATGTGACGTGGTGTATAACATGCATATGTTGCATGTGTGAGGTGAGGTGAGGTGAAATTGGGTTTAACGTCGTGCTTGAGAATATTTCGCTCATATGACGACGCATGCGTGTTTGTGAATGTGCGGCTGTTTGTAATAGCCCAGACTTAAGCTGGTTTTATAGTGCTAGCCCACTGAGATACCATGCCGCAGTGAAGCATGAATACCCCCACTCAGACACATTATACTGACTCCGAGCCGACCAGTCCTTGTTGTACCCATTAATGCCGAGCGCCAGGCAGTGACCAACAAGTACCATATTTTAACGTCCTTTCGGTATGACGCGGTCGGGAATCGAACCCGCGACCTTCAGCTCTCCGGGCGGATGTTGCATGTGTATGTGACGTGAGTATATAATACGGATATGTTGCATGTATGTAACGTGGGTGTATAACACGGATATATTGCATGTGTATGTAACATGGGTGTTTAACACGGATATGTTGCATGTGCATGTGACGTGGGTGTATACCACTGACATGTTGCATGTGCATGTGACGTGGGTGTATAAGACTGATATGTTTCATGTGTATGTGACGTGGGTGTATACACAGATATGTTGCATGTGTATGTAGAATGGATGTGTATGTTATAGAGTATGCAACACGGGTATGTAGCTTTTAGTGGTGACTATTGAGGGGAAACAATTATTCCGATAAGGATGGTCTACTGCAACCAACTATTACAATACTATTCCAATAGCGGTTTTTTTCTCTCCTTGCATTGTCTCATTTACCAAATGAATGTATAGTTTATATAAGAAGTTGAAGTAGTTTCACTCTCTTTAACACCTAACAAAGAAACTTGAAACCCTTATCAAGTAAACAGTAAAAACATAAACACGTAAGATTGCAGATTTATTTGTTCGTGGTTTGTATGTAGTGGATAGGTTTGAATTGTTGTGGCTGTGTTGAGACTGGCGGAGGTACACTACGTGATTATTCACATCTGTAGTTCACACTTTCATCATTCAGAATGTTGGAAATCCATTAATTTTCCAAATATGATTCTTAAATTCCAGGCTCCGAGTTTGCTGTTTTGTTAAAAAGCGAGGTGACGTTTCTTTCGCCCGTGAGTATATTACACAAACAATATAATCGCCTCCTATATAATGTTGTATTCCTGGACTACTCTCGTTTATAATTACCTGGTGATGTTTTATCCTGAAGCTGTCACGATCACAACACGTGACGAGGATCTTCTTATATTTATGAATATTCATGTAGCCTACATGATTAATGCAGAAGTGTTATGCATCACGTCCAGATTACGTTACATATGTGCTAATGTGCTTTCAATTTTAAATACGATTCACGTTTCTGTATGCCATCAAGAATTGATAACAAGTATTGCCTTAGAGTTTGTGCTCCAAAATATTTATCATACCCACAAAAAGCGTTGATGTAATAGTAGTTCTTGTTTTTTGTAAGGAACAATGGATGAACCTAGTGTCTAGAGCGTTAGCACGTCTCCGAAGACCAGGGTTTGATTCCCGCTGAGTTAAAGATGACTAATCATATCTTTAATATTTAGAAGTTTAAGGAGAAAAACAGTGGTATCACAAAGTATTTCTCTTTTCAGTTTGATGAAAATGGCTCTAAACAGAAACCACGCGCACGCATTTCTGTTTCTCACTCTGATGTTCATCGCTGGTAAGTACGTTATATGTTCTGGTACATTCCAAAGAAACGTCTGTTTAAATATGTTTCATTTATTTTTTTGAATGTATTCGCATTTAATAAACTTTGCGTATCTTGTGAATATGAATAAGCAAGTGATTCCATGTTATTTGTCTGGTTAAAGAAACAATTATATTTGCGTCAAAGTTTTCAGAAATCAACACAGAATTAAGTCATGTCCATTAGGTTTCTTAGTTGCGCGAATTCAGCAGTGCCGTGAACAGATTTGATCATGTTTCTTGAAGGAGAATACACTTTCACCTTTGAAGATATGCCTATTTAGACCTATTGCTATTGATTTGAGCCCAGGATTGTTCTGGCAGCGTTATAAGAGCACTTCGTTGACTGAGACATTGACAAAGACATTGACAGGCGTGAAGATTGAGACTAGTAATGCTTTGATATTCACTGCATGTGTGAAATTGATTTTTGGTAGTAGTAGTGGTAGAAGTTGTAGTAGTAAAAGTAGTAGTTGTAGTAGTAGTAGTAGTAGTAGTAGTAGTAGTAGTAGTCCTAGTAATAGTAGTAGTAGTAGTGTAGTAGCAGTTAGTAGTAGCAGAAGTTTTAGTGGTAGTTGAAGTGAAGTAGCAGCCGCAGAGTAGTTGCAGTAGATGCAGTGGTAGTAGTAAAAGTAGTAGTTGTAGTAGTAGTAGTAGTAGTAGTAGTAGTAGTATAGTAGCAGTTAGTAGTAGTATAAGAAGTTTTAGTAGTAGTTGAAGTGTAGTAGTAGCAGCAGCAGTAGTTGCAGTGGTAGTAGTGTAAGTAGTAGTAGCGCCAGCAGCAGTAGTAGTACTGGCATTAGTGAGTGAGTGAGTTCAGTTTTACCCCGCACTCAGCAATATTCCAGCTATATGGCGGCGGACTGACATTAGTAGTAGAATTTGTTGTAACAGTAGTACATGCAATACACTGCAACTTGTGTAACAGGTAAGCAAGCGACCTTACAGTTACAGTAAGCACTACTATTTTTCAAAACTTATCATTTCAATACTTCTGTTTCCAAGGTTTCAAATGTGTTTCCTGCAGCAGCATTCACAGCAGTCTCATGGCCATCAATATGCGATAGGTGGTATTACTGAAGCGTATTCAGATGATTTATCATCTATAATCACGACAAGTGCCTCTCAAAGTAACCCTTTATACAAGTACGGGTGCTCAAGGTGTTGTCAACTCGTTAGAAATGGTCTTCATCAACCCATGCTTGTCGAAAGAGGCGACTAGCGGACCAGGTGGTCAGGCTCGCCGACTTGGTTGACACATGTCATTGCATCCCAGTTGTGTAGATCGATGCTCATTCTGTTGACCACTGGATTGTCTGGTCCAGACTAGATTATTTGCTTATAGCCATTATAGCCAGCTGAACTGCTGTCGAGTGTGGCGTTAAACCAAAACCAAACAACCAAGTTTGACCTGTGAAGTGTTGTTAAACAGTTTTTGTTCAGGAACAGCCAATCGCAGTCAACGAAACTGTCACGTGATACTTTGGTCGTCTGGTCAACTCAACCTACAAAATGGTATCTATCAAATGACTGGAAAGTTTGACAACATGTGTTTTAGGTGTGACAAATCTTTAAAATGTTAACAATATGTGTTGTCAAACTTTATTTTCCCGTTGAAGGCCGTTTTATGTCCAGACTGAGAGCAATACCAATACTGGATACACAATAGTCGGTGACAGAAGCAACTACACAGGCTTTGTATGGGTTCGACCTGATGACAAGTAACATTTTCAGCATCTTAAACATTTATCATATTTCATTTACATCGACCAAACAACGTACGTTCCAGGCGCAGCTTTAACAGACGCAGTTTGTCCAGATGGTGTTGGTCAGATTGACGAAGATAACAATTTCAGCTTCTTAAACATTTTTTTATATTTCATTTACATCAAACAAACAACGTACGTTCCAGGCGCTGCTTCAACAGACGCAGATTGTCCAGATGGTGTTGGTCAGATTGGTGAAGGATACAGAATAGTCTGTGACAGAAGCAACTACACAGGCTTCGCGTGGGTGCAACCTGGTGGCAAGTACGTCGTCACCTGCAACCCCAACTGCAGCTCTGTGGCTGGATACAGTGCAACCAGGAACACCACACTCCACGCTTACCATTGAGAATATTAGAGCTGCAGATGCTGGTACATGGAAGATCGTGGATGTGACTGCAGTGAATGCCTCTCCCGTCGAAGTGTGTCAACTGATGGCAGTTCGTGAGTGTTGAGTCATCTGTTTAATTGGTATTTTAGAAGTTGATGAATAATAAGAAAAGGTACACTACTTTATGGACAACAGCTTCTTGTTATATAAGGATGTTTCGGTATAAATGCGTATATTGCAAGAGTGAAGTAATAGAGCACAGAATCGACTTATGTACATCTAACAAGGTTTAAATAAGGAAACATTGCATGACAACGATATACAAATCCACACCAACACGTCGCATCATAATATATAAAGAAGTCGTTATCCATAAACCATCATCATTTTTGAGTGTCGAGTGGCTTCTCCCATCATCAGACTATCTGTCTCTCACCACACACTCCACACTTACTATAGAAAGTGTTAGGATGGGAGATGCTGGAACCTAGAGCTTACTGGACGCACTTGTCGTGGATGCTGCCCACACAGACGTATGTGAGCTGACGGTAACTGGTGAGCATTTGTGCGATATACTTCGTTGCACACAATATACAGTGCGCCCTGGTTATAATGCCACCCTGGATATAATGCGATGTTTTTGCCGGAACGGATTTCCTGGCTATGTAATACCCTGGTTATAATGCCAAACTGGATATAATGCCATTTGCCAATGGTTTTTGGAACACAAGTCATTTTCCCCTGGTTATAATGCCAATTACACTGGCTGCATATATGCTGATGGGCAAAAGAAACTTTCTGTTGCAAAATATTTCATAACATAAGGAAATATAATCAAATGCAAATTGCCCTTCAGTTATTGCCAACAACAAGAGTTCGGTTCTGACGAACAGCAGCGCAAAAACACACCTCTTGACAACTTGGCATTGAAGACAGCAAAATGCACGTGTTTTACATGTAAGGGTAAAATCCGTGTGAATGCATGGTATAAAACCACCTCACAGTACATAGCAGATCGTACTTCAGCTGAAAATTTACTATGTCGAAGTTCAGAGCGAGCAGGAGAGGGCGCTACAACGTTGCAAGAACCTTCAATTGCTCCGTCGTGACCGTCAGGAACCTTCGTCGGCGTTACCAACAGACTGGTCAGGCCTCAGACAGGTCCCGGACAGGCAGATCCCGGGTGCGCAGGAGTCCAACGGTAACGTCATCAGCGGCAACAGTACTCGGTCACCCAGTGAGTCGAACGACAGTGACAAGGAGACTACGGGCCTATGGTATCAGGGCCATCCGACCGTACCGAGGAACGCTGCTGACAGAGAGACATCGTCGCCTGAGGCTCCAATGGGCGACAAGAGTCAGTCTTTGGCATCTCCTTCACTGGCGTCGAGTGCTGTTTTCCGAAGAAAGCAGATTCTGTATATGAAGGGGCGATGGACGAGCTAGACTTTACAGGAGGACAGGCGAAAGGAATCGGAGCCGTATGGTGTAGGATGTGTCATGGTATGGGGCGGCATATGTGGTGACCAAAGGACAGAACTGGTCGTTATCAACAGTAATCTGACAGTTATATGGACCAGGTACTTCGACCGACGGTTGTCCCGTTTCTTCAGTAACAGCCACAGGGGATATTGTCCCAGCAGAACAATGCTCGCCCATATGTCGCTCGAGTCATCCAGACCTTATTTCACGCCAGCAACGTCAACGTCATGCCATGCACGCTATCCTGACAGGTCACCAATCGCGCACTTGTACAACCACCTTGATAGAGTTATTCGACGGAGACAGAATCCCACAGTTACAGTACAGCAAATGGCTCAACAGAAGGCGTGTGTTTGCATGTATTCTAGCCAGAGGTGGACATACTCGCTATTAGAGATTTATATTTTATTTTATATATAATTTATTTATATATATTTATATAGTGCCAATATCAAGATCACCTGCTCAAGGGCGCTTTGTTTTCCCTCGATCATTGGATGTCAGTCTCAAACGGTACAATGTATTATCAATCTCAACTCCCTGGGGATCATACAACTCTTGCAGCCACTAGGCGCACCGAGTTAATGTGGCTTTCCTATCTTTACGAGGTACCCATTCACAGCTGGGTGGACTGGGGCACGTAGTCACAGTATTTTGTCAAAATTTACTGCACGTTGCTGTACCCGCAACTAGGTGTTTGCACGCATTCATGTGGCTACCATCTGGTCATATACCAACGGATTCGTGGGTTCTTTTAAGTACACGGGGTTGTCTACTGTACACTAGGGTTGTGACAACACTGGGAGAGGCTGCGCGCAAAGTTGACACCAAGGTTGTACACCCGGTCACAGGTGGGCTCGATCCCGTCACCTCAAGCTCGCTGGATCACCTGGCGCCTTAGCCAGCTCGCCCACCATGCCCCCTGCTGATTTGCTGTGTTTCTCGAAACACTGATAGTGAATTCTCTAGTTTCACCCCATGATGACCATAACCTGTTCAATAAGTTATCAGCCCTGTTAAAAATCGAACGTCTGTCCTTATCACGTGCCTATGTCATTGCTTCATAACTTATAACTTGCAAACTTCGATTTCTTGTTGTTGTTTTTAGTGAGATCAAATTGAACAAGGAGAACGGGGTTTTTTTTGTGCCCGTTAGTAGTATACATAAATTAATTGGTTAATTGACACGGCTCAAATTTAATGATCAAACTCGTTAATACCTGAATTTCAAGCCGGCTTTAGAAATGAGTATTCTACAACTGATAACGTTTTCACCTGAAATGAAATAATTCAGAAATGTTTATCAAGAAAAAAGAAGAAAGCATATGTTGCCATCGTAGATTTTAAGAAAGCTCTTGATTCCGTCTCTCGATATAAACTTTGGTATTGTCTTCAATACTCTGGATTAAATGGGAAAATGTTAGCTGCTTTAAAACGTATAAATGTCTCCATTAAAGCATGTGTAAGATGCAACGATAATGTTCACACAGATAGTTTGATTGCCCAGTCGGTCTAAGGCAAGGGTGTTTTTTAAGTCCACTTCTTTTTTGCCTTTTTTATTGGTGAATTGTGTACTGATATTGTAGAAAGTGGCAAATTTGGTGTACAGCCGTTTCCTGATTGTTTAGAGATATTGTTGGTACTTCTCATGGCATTCTCATATATGACGTTGCTTCAGGACTACGAAAACAATTGAATATTTTAGAATCATATTTTGATAAATTGGGACTTGAAGTCAACCTTGATAAAACAAATATTCTTGGTTTTAGAAGGGGTGGGCGAGTATATCAGCTAAGAAAAATGGTATTATAAAGACTCTGTTGTTGATGTTGTGAGTTCATATATGGTATTATATGTTTCATCCACGTTTGAAATGAATAAAAATATAGATGACCTAGCACTGAGAGGAAAAAGATCATTATTACAGATATTATATAACTTAAGAAAGATTGATGTGGTTGACCCTAAGGTATTCTTTAAAATATTTGATTTACAAATTCAACCAATTTTACTTTATGGTGCGGAGGCATGGGGGGTTACCCGCAATCAAAATATTGAAAAGATTTTTAAATGTAGGATTATAAACGCCTGATGTTATAATATATGCTGAATGTGGACGATGTCCTTTGTATATAAATACCTCAAGTTATTAAATAGTGGTTAAATCTTAAAGAAAAACACTCTGGTAGAATACCAAAAAAATCATATGACATGTCATTATATTTTGATAACATTGGGAAAAACAGTTATGCTTATCATATTCGTAATATATTTCTTTTCACATGGATTTGGCTTTGTATGGTTAACACAAAGTGTAGGTAATAAGGTTGACTTTCTTAGATGTTTTAAAGACGTCTGTTTTTTTAATATGTTTTACCAATCTTGGCATGTACTCTTGACAGCAGTTCACGCTACACTTTGTATAGAGAGTGTAAGAGTTTATACATGAAATTAAATATCGTAATATTCTTATAAAATTTCGAGCAGGCTTATTACGATTAAAAATAAATGGAGTCAGATGGTTAAATAATGATGTATCTCTACGCACATGTCCTGTTTGATGATTCGGTATTGAGGATGAGTTCCATTTTGTTCTTGTATGCAATTATTTTTCTGAAGAAAGATTACGTTACTTTCCACATGTTTACAACCGAATTCCAATGTATGTATATTCAAAGGCCTGTTAACTTCCTCTTCAAATGAATCATTTAATATTTATTAAAGGTTTACAATTGCCTGTATTGACTTAATAACTGAATAAAATTACACTTTGCAAACTGACGATCGGTTCATTTTTTGAAGGATGCAGTTATCTATGATAAAATATATTACATTTGTGCGTCTTTTTGTACATTTAGTGGGTCTTATTATGCAAGAAGTGCTGTAATAAATTACCACCTGAGAGAGTGCCTAAGCCCACATCATTCAAAGCATAGTTACCACATATATACCACAGTTTTTAATCATAGTATATATGTAGTATTAAATGGATAACTTACATGCTATCGATAACAGCTGATAGGATTTGTTAAATCCAGCTAGAGGTCCATGTAGGTAACAAAAGCTCTGTAAATCACCATGATCTTTAGCATGCTGATTTACCGTCAGTAAAACTATTGTTGGCAACCTATAGCCCATTTCTATATTGCATTATTGTCATACACTATATACTAGATTTAAGAGAATTTTCTGATTTCTGTTTTGTTGTAGGCACCGCCAGCACACCTCCTTCTATCCATCCCTCTTCTTCATCAACGCAGAGAACGAAGACTGGTGATGCGGGGTTGTCTCCGGGACTTATTGCAGGCATCGTTGTCACCGTCATCTTTTTTGTTCTGTTAGTCATTGTCATAGTTCTGTTATTTTGCCAACAGCGTGAAATGAGCAAACGATATATTCCAAGATCGTTTGGAGGACTGTGCTGCTGCAGAAAGTAAAAACATCTTCCTTACTGGAATGTTGATTCTTTTCTAGCAATCACGTAGCAAAAGTACTGTAAGTCCCATGGACCCT